AGCCCCCGTGCTTGTGGTCGTTGCAGCCCCTGTGTTTGTTGTCGTTGCAGCCTTTGTGCTTGTTGAAATCTTCACTGTTATGAGAAGGAAACAAAATCAAATATTATCCGTCAATTCATTAGGTAAAAATTTGATGACAATGCAATCTATGTACATTCAAAATTCGTTATTTTATTAATGATTAGTTTTGCCATTCTAACGAATATCGAAAATAGTGAATTTTCACTCTGCTTTCTTTCTAAGTAGAACAATAACGTATCAAAATGTATCCAAGCCTTTAGCGAGACTTTTTGCACACATTTGTGACTGCAATTAGTCCGAGTAGTTTCCTCAAATATATGTATCTTATATTTTCGAGCCTTTGGACGGTAGATTTCATTATCCAAGTCTACCGAAGAAAACATCAGATATTGTTGGATTTCAAGAGGTCTGCTCTCATTTGTTTGCTTCCTAATTATAAACATTTCGATAGTCCTATTCTAAGATTATCAACTATCGTAATGACATCAGATTCTCTAACGACGAATGAAGAAGTGGAAATTTTCTTTCAATTTTTTTCGAGTTATACGCGAACATAAGTCAAGAAAACGTCATAAAGAAGACCTCCTGCAATATTCTTTGCTAATTGAAATGAGCGAAGCGGATTCAGGCTAGCGAAGAAATCTGAAATTTTCACAAAGTCTGGCCGAGCATCCTCCGATAGTTGAATAATCATTTTATTGGCTATAAAAAGCATGAAGAAAATAGATTCATGTTCAATGCTCTTGAGATTCAATGTATCCACTATTATGAAATGTGCTAACACCCAAAACAAAAAGATTATACATTATCTTAGTCATATACCTTTATTTATCCTTTCGTTTCTTTTCTTTTTTTCCTAATTGTAAAGAATGGGTTCGATTTAAGGGTGCGTATGAGTGGATGTCGATCTGTGTGAACATACCCATACTCGACCTAATTATCTAGTGACCTACCTATCTATCTAACTAATATGCTGAACAAACTCCTTCGATATCTACCTATGTGTATCACTGTCTATCTATCGATCTAATTACCTGGTTACGACTAGAAGTAAATCTTTACATCTTTACA